GGGAGCGCGTGGAAGTCCAGCGGCTGCGGGGCCACGGGTTGCTGCAGAGAGTTGCACAGGCGCAGGCGCCGCAGCGGCTCCCCCGAGCGGTCCGAGGCCAGGTTGGAGGGCCACCCGCACCAGGCGACACTCCGCACCCGGGCCGACCCCTCCCGGGCCCACGACTCGGTCTCAGTTCCTCCGCGTGGAGCCAGAGCAGCGCCCAGGGCGCGCTCAGCTTGGCGAAGGGCACGGTCCGGGCGCGGCGCTGGGAGGGACCGCGCCCCTGGGGGGCCAGGGTCTCCCGGTGGGCCAGAGCCCGGAGCCCCTCCCCTTGCGACCCCTGGGGGTGACAGATCCCGTTCTGCGCGAGGGTCCTTTCGGCCTTCAAAAGCGCTTTGACGCGCGTTTTCTCGTTTGAGATTCCAACGAGGAGGGAACTAGCACCCCCTTTTTTTAAACGTGGATAGACGCTGAGTGGGCCGGCGTCCTAGAGCAGTGGCTGCTCTTCCCCAAGTATTGGGCGCCTGCAGTGTGCCAGGCCCTGGGCTGAGCGCCGTACACACTCCGCCCACTTAAGCATCACAGCCCCTCTGCGGGGCTGACACGGCGGTAAAGCCCATTTTTACAGATGAGGTGGTGCAGTCGCTTGGGCAGGTCACAGAGCTTGTTAGGGGAGCCCGCGCAGCCCGTCTCCACCGCGCGCGGGTGCCGCTGGAACTCACACTGCCAGCGCCGCCGCGGGGGGCGGGGGGGGGGCACAGCGGCTCATCCGGCAAGAGCACGAAGCCTGCCCCACCGCGGGGGCGGGGGGGGGGGACAGTTAGGACCGGTCTGCCTCACTTCCCTCCTGGGCGGGAGGCAGGGGATTGGGTTTATCAGTCCCAGTGAAGCCAGAAAGAAAGGAAACGGTGGGCTGCAGCAAGAGGGATTGGGTTTAGTTCTGAGAAGGAACTGCCCACCGCCCGTTGCAAGCAATGGACCAGAGATGCCACGGGATTGCTCGCGGAGGGAGAGGGGATTCAGGAGAGGGACTGTCGGTTGGCTACTCTGGCCTCGGGTGACGTGGGGCAAGAGTCCCGTCTGGCCCAAGTCTCACCGAGTTCGGTTTTCCCGCCGCGGAAAAGGTTGCCCCTGGATTCTGAGGCACAAATGCTGACGCGGGACGCGCAGAGATGGTCGTCGTCCAGGTCCTTGTCCTCGGTGCCATCGCCGTCCTGGGCTCAGCAGACGGGAGTGAGGGGGCGCGGAGCCGGGCGCAGGCGCAGGGCAGGTGCCGGGAGTTTCCCGGTTCTCCGTCGCTCCCAGCTGGGCTGCGTGCAGCAGTCCGTGTGCCGACCCGACGACCCGACCCGGACCGTCTCCCTCCTCTCCAGCCGCGCTCAGCCCAAGAGCGGCCACCACTACCGTAAGAACAACGGGGAAGATAATAGCCAACGTTTATTGTGCCCCTGCCTTGGTGCCTGGTGCTGCGCTGAACATTTTACACACATTTACTTACAACTCCAAGAAGCGGGGGCTGTTATCTTCATTTTACAGACGAACACACAGGAATTAAAGTGAATGGTCAGAGGTCCTAGTTCTCCTTCACCTTCCTTCTGGACGCCCTCCCCACCCCCAGCCTCAGTCATCTTTGCTCCCAGGATCCACCCCTACTTTCTAGAATAGAGTTGAACACCAGCTTCCCCCACCCCCACTGCCCCAGCCTCTGGGTCTGAGGTCACAGGGAGGGGACAACCTCCACCCCCCCCTTCACTCCCCACCCGCAGCTTGGCCCCCTCGGAATTTGGCTCCACACAGCTCCAACTTGTCCTGGGCCCCTGAGCCTCCTTCCTCCGTCTGGGCACTTCCCTCCCCCCCAAGCCTGTGCCTGGCACATGGAGATTACAGCTGGCACCAGGCTGCCCCGGTAGTAAGACGATCCACCGCAAGACAGGAAAAGCCCACCCCCACCCTGGACTCGGCCTGGGCCCAGCAGCCTTTGCAGGTGGGTTCTTGGATCCCCTTCCTTATCCTGGGGCCAGGTTCCTTGCCAGGGGTCCTCCCAGTTGCCCAGGTGCCCAGCCAGATTTGGCTGGCAGAGGGAAGAACTTGTCACTGACCAGCTCAGTGTGGCCTGGGAAGGGAGCGGGGAGGAGAAAAAGGGAAGGAAAGGGAGGAAGGAGGTGCCAGGAGGTGCCAGTATTCCCTTCCTATGGGCAGCCCCAGGCTTCACAGCTGGAAAAGCTGGGAGGACCAAGAGAGGAGGGCCTGGGAGGAGCTGGACCCCAAGACAGCATCAGGGGATGGGGGGAGGGGTTCAAGGGAGGGGAGTGCCTAGGGCTGAGAGCATCGGAGCTGCTTCGTGGCTCTGCAACCTTGGGCAAATGCCTGTCCCTCTCTGGACCTCAGCTTCTCTAAGTCTGTTCAGGCTGCTATAACAAAATACCACAGACTGGGTGGTTTATAAACAACAGAAATTTGTTTCTCACAGCTCTGAAGGCAGGAAGTCCAAGATCAAGGCACCAGCAGGGTCCTTGGGGACCCTCTTCCCTGGTTTGGAGACTGCACTTTCTGTGTCTTCACTGGGTAGAAGGGGCTACAGAGCTCTGTGGGGTCTCTTTCATAAGAGCACTGATCCCATGCATGAGGCTCTGCCCTCAAGAGCTAATCACCTCCCAAAGGCTCCTAATATCATCGCATTAGGGATTTGGATTTCAAATTATAAATTTGGGAGGGACACAGTCAGTCCATGGCACTCCCCATCTGTAGGGAAGGGGGTTAGGACTCCTTGAGAGCCTGTTTGGGGTAAGGAAGGGGGCGGGCTGCTAAGTCCAGACTGGGAACATCAGCAGCAGGGCTGGACCACAGCACAGCCCACCCCCACCCTCACCTCAGGAGATGGTCCCTCCTCCTACAGGCTTCCCTCCAGAGCCCCAAAGTTCAGTGGCTCCAGGGCCCTGAGCAGCAAGCATGGCTACCCTTTTCCCAAAGGTCCAAGTCAAGGCCCACCCCTGAACCAGTCTGGGGCATAGTCACTACCCCTTCCTTCCACAGAGCCTCGGGGCCCATGGAGGGGGTGGGGTGAGTGGAGAGGTATTTGCCTTTGAGCTATTGTGATCTAATGGTGGAATTTGGGGCACCAAAGCAGGGGGAAGGCAACTTCTTCATGGCCTTGCAACAACTTCACTGAAGCGGCCTCTGTCTCCAAGCCCTGAGAGGGGAGCTTTATCTGGAACCCAGACCCTCTCCCTGGACAACACACACAGGACCTGCTGCATAATCTGTGGTGTCCCACGTGGCAGGCCCACAAAGCTGGCCTGAATCCACTCATATGTGTCCACACATGCTTCTGGTTCTCCATGTGACCTTGCCCAGAACACACACTGTGGGCCCAGCCACCGGCTATTACAATAATGGTTCGCGGTTCCTTCCTCCCTCGGGCTCCCAGTTCTGCACTACCGTGGAGTAGTAGGCTGAAGTGGCACAGGGGCAGGGCTCGCAGGGGCTGAGAAAGTGGGGCTGGGATGGCAGGCGGCTGGGCTCCAAGTCCCAGGCCCACTACCCTCCCCATCTTGTCCTTACACAGGAAAACAGCAAAGGGAATTGTTCACCTCTTGGTTTGGGGTGAAGGAGGGTGACAGGGTGATTCTCTGATGGGAGCGGGGCTAACCAGGAGAGAACTGGCCTGCTGGTGCAGAGCTGGTGCCCAAGAAGGATGCAGAAGCTTCCTTTCTGGGGGAGCTTCCAGCCCAGAGATAACTGGCTGGACAGGGGGTCGCTGGTGCTCACAACACAGGTATGGGTAGCTGGGGGGAGGGGTCACATTCAGGCCCAGAGGCTACCTGGGGTCCCACTCCCAAGCTTTGCTATTTCCTGCTGGGGTAAGGTCTACTGGAGCTAAGAACAGAGAACGGGCTGAACCCACTGCCCAGGAGCAGAGGAAGCCGACAGTGGGAAGGTCTCCAGCCCAGGAGTGGAAGTTAACCTACCAGCTGTGCCACTGTGAGGCATGAGGTCCTGCCCAGGGACATTCCTTCTCTGCGGCATGGGATAAGCTCAGGTCTCAGCTCTGAACCAGAGTTGGGGGTAAGAAGATGCTAAAGTCAGTCCTTTAGGCCCTGGAAGGGGTGACGAACCTATGGGTAGTGCCCAGGGAGGCAGACATGGTAGACGCCGTGCAGGCAATCAGGGTGCCCCGGAGTGTGAGCCAGAGTGGGGAGGTACGGACCTCCTGTGTGTGCCAGCAGGAGTATGTAAATGTGTGGAGGAAAGTGTTTTAGAACAAGTGCTAGTATGTGATCATGCATGTTGAGTATGGGGTGTACAGAGCTGCTGGTGCTGCCTTCTCAAGAGGGGGCTCCAAGGGTCAGGTGGCTTCTGGGGTCACACACCTGGGCCCTCAGGCCCTTCCAGCTGGCTCAGACTCAGGCCAGGCCTCAGCCCACCATTGGGGGTGTCAGAACGCATAAAGGCCCTCTTCATCAGCACCCCCTGCCCCCAGACTTTAGCCTGTCTGGTAGATGGGGCAGATGGGAGACACAAGAATGGACAAGTTCACTCTTGCGGGCTTTCCACAGGGTAGAGCTGCCCAACAGGGCAACTCACTCCCTGACCCCACCTGGCCCAGTCCCTGGCCCTGTGTAGTGAGCTTTCTGATTCCCCAAGTTGGCGGGGCCCCTGTCCTAAGCTTAGCCTGACACCTTCACGATGGAGAAAGGTACTGCAGAGAGAGGGCTCGCCTCCTCAACACGATGGTGGACTACATTTCCCAGCATGCCCTGCAGCTCCATGTAACCATGTGACTATGTGTTGGCCAATGGAAGGTGGGCAGAGGCCAGGTCCTCGGAAACCTCCTAGGTAATCTTCCACTTGCACTCATTCCCAGTCCGCTGACCGGAGGTTGATGCCCCAGGGCAAACTGGGAAGCCATGTGTTAAAGACCTCAGAGTCAGGGTCTCTGCATGAGTTCACTCCCCAGAGCCCCCAGGCCCACCTTTCACTTACACCTGAGGTGAGACAGAGCAAGGAAAAAACTTCCATAGAGTTAAGCCACCGAGATTTCAGGGTTTATCTGGTACAGCAGATGGTGTTACCTCAACTAATACAGGCTCTTGATTGAAGTCACTTGAGGTCTAGGGCCCAGCTGGGACAGCCCCTCTTCCCACTCACCCTCTCTGGGAGGACAGCAGGCAGTTGGGGGAGAAGCTTGAGCCCTGGGGCCCTGCCCCTACAGTTCCTCAGCTTCCAGAGCCTAGACTCCCCAGGTCAGAAGGAGAAGGCCAGGGGGCACCCAGATGCCCTCAGACCACTGACCCCAAGAGCCTTGCGTCCCCATCTCACTGCCATGAATTCTGCCAGGAAGGCGCTGCTGGGGCAGGAGGCTTCTCAGGACACCATCCTCCTGGCAGCCCCTCTGGCCAGTCCTCAGGATGAGATCCATATTCCTGCCTCAGCCTTAGGACCTGGGTGTTGCCCTCTGCCTTGGGTCACCTGAGGGTTGGGACTAGGGATCAGCTGGGGGTGTTCTCAGAGGTGTTGGGGAGCAGGCCAGCTGCCACCTGGTCCTGGTGCCACAGCTGTTCCGCCAGGCCATTGAGCACGTGGGCAATGTCAGCCAGCCCAGCCCGCCCGTCCAGTGTGCGTCCATCTGCCAGCCGCCGGCCTGGCACACTCTTCACCCGCAGGAGGGGCAGTTTCCAGGCCTGCCGGAAGGCTGTGAGGTCCCGCTCAGGCACATCTGTTTGCATGTACTGGTCAAATCTGGAGGAGGGTCAAGGAGCCTGGCCGGATGCCTCAGCTTACCGCCTCATCACACCTAGCCTTAGGCCTCCTCGCTGGGCTGGTGGGGGGGAGGGCCCCTGCTGCCTTTAAGATAAAGTCCATGGGACTAGACCCCACAGCTGGGCAGAGGCAGGGTACCTGATCCCCTTGCTTCATGCCCTGCCAAATATGGCCTCTGACTGCCCCAGGGGCCACCCAAAGGATACTTGGAGCCAATGACCATCCTGACAACACCAGGGGCCTCGCCTGCTACTCGGGCCAGCTGTCCAGGGAGGTCTTCAAAGGAGGCACGGTCGGTGAAGGAGAAGAGGAAGAGGAAAGCATCTGTTTTCTCCTTGCAAGCCTGGGGATGGAGAGGCTGATGTGAGACTTGTAACCATGGGCCCTGAGAAGTCTTAGCTCACTCCCTTCCTCCACAGGCCCAGTCCCCACTGCCAGCTCAGAGCTCTCCCACCTGGGGCAGCACCCTCAACCCATGCCCAAATCTGGCTCCTGCAGACCAGGCAGGCTGGGCTCAGACACTCAGACTCAGAAACCCATCTCAGACAACCAGCCCCTCCCGGACCCTCCCAGGCCCACCTGCCTGCTCACCGGCAGCATGTGATCGAACTTTTTGAGTGCAGACTCCCCACAGTCCCAGAACTCAAAGCGGAACATGACAACACGGTCGCTGGCCTGCAGCTTGGCTGGCCAAAATACCACGGTGGTCTGGATGCCTGGGGAGGGTCAGTCATTCAGCATGGGGGAGGCAGAGTGGAGAGGGTTAAGGGGACCAGGAAGAAATAGGAAGAAGACACGTCCTTGGTGGGTCACCAGCCTGACAGGGAAGGCATATTCGCTGACCTGGGAGAATTCTCAGTCTGATGGGAGAAACTGACCTGCCCTAGATGAGCCTCCAGTCTGCTGGGGAAAGGAAGCCCTAACCCTAGCCATGACAAAGCAGTTTCATTTGTACGTATAGGGGGACCCAAAGATACTGGATACTGGACACTGCTGCAATCTGCTGGCCAATCAGCATCCAGCGGAAGGAAACAAGAAAGGAAGAGTAGTGCTCCCTGAGCACCTTTCTTGTGCCAGCTCCGTACTAGTTCTAGTACTTTGGGGTTGGTACTATTATCTGTGCTGAATGGAGGAGCCAGATGTAGGCTCAGAGAAGTGAAGTGACTTTCCAAGGTTGCACAGTAAATGGTGGGACAAGGGCCAGTGTCTCCTCCACCACAGGGAAGGCCTCCCCAGCTGGACTCACCAGTGGTCTCATGGTGTACCACGGGTACCTCTAGGCCAGCCAGCTTGGCCACCAGGGCTGTCTTGCCCACGCCACTCTTGCCAGACACGAAGATCTTGTAGCTGGCTGTGTCAATGGCCACGGGTGGGGGCAGCACTGGTCGCTCCAGCAGCCCTGGGACAAGAAGGGAGCCAGGTGGGGTCAAGAGGTCAACCTGCACTTGCCCCATCAGACCCATCGACTCTAAGAGCTTTTCAGTGCCAGCCAGCCATGGTTCTCTATGCTCATTACGGAGGCCTGGGACACAAGCAGGGTCCCTGGGTGAGCTCTGCTAAGAACACCTGTGCTCTGGGGCGCCTGGGTGGCTCAGTTGGTTAAGTGACTGCCTTCGGCTCAGGTCATGATCCTGGAGTCCCGGGATCGAGTCCCGCATCGGGCTCCCTGCTCGGCAGGGAGTCAGCTTCTCCCTCTCACCCTCCTCCCTCTCATGCTCTCTGTCTCTCATTCTCTCTCTCTCAAATAAATAAATAAAATCTTTAAAAAAAAAAAAAAAAGAACACCTGGGCTCTGCACCAAAGCCTACTCCAAATAACACCGAATTACTTTTATTTAAAGTTTGATGCATGAGATTATTTTTACTGATACTTTATCACATGTTCTAGATTTCCCACATGTAAAGGCAAGGTTTTTCATAAGTCTTTCCTCAATGGAGAAATATCAGCAAAAATATTCTCAATTACTATAAATAAACTCAGTAGAATCAATATATCGAGATCTTTATGAATGCTTTTAACTAACTTGAAAGAAATTTAATTATGATACATCCATAGGCTTAGGACCTGAAAGTCCTAAGTTGTGGGTTGCCCTCTCATTCTCTGGTCTTAAGCCTTCTGGTGCTTTGTTTCTTCTGTCCAGAGCTGAGCCCCCACAGCAGATGCCAGGCCCCTCTGCTGACCTGTCAGCCCAACCTTGGGTGAGTTGGCTTCATCCTGGGAAACATGAATGTCTTGCCTTAGAGACAGCAGGATATAGAGGAGGCTTGCCTCTACTTACTAGGCTGGATCTTGGAGAAGTCTTTAAGGTGTACTGTTGAGGGTAATTGGGAGTCTGTTGTATAATGTGCCCAGCAGAGGGCCTGGCACCCAGTGAGAACTCAATCAACAGCCTCTCTGGTGACAGTGGTTCTTGGCAGGGTTTCCACTGTTTCCATGTTCCTGGTCTGATGATGGAATTAACTCTAAGGTGATTCGGTGGCGGGGTCCCCAGGGATAGGGCTTCCAGGGGTCCCCAAGCCTGAGGAGTGCAGCAAAGCAGGCCCTCACTGCCCTACTTCTTTGCTTCCCCCCCAGGGAACAACAGGCCACAGGCTTGGGGGGCAGGCACTTACCAAACACCCGTCTGCGGTTCTTGCGCAGGATGCAGGCCAGGTACTCCTTGCCCTCGGCGCTCTCGTGCCAGTCTGGAACAATCACCGAGCCCGGGGCAGGTGGTCTGGCCATGGCTGGGCGCCCCGACAGGGTAGAGAGATGGCAGAACGCTGAGTAGGGGATGGGAGAGGGTAACTGTCCCGAGCTGGACCTGTGATCCCTCTCAACCTGCTCTCTGACTCTCCCTTGGAGCCCCAGCTCCCTCCTTGGGGTGGGGGATCAGCTATGGCCCCCCAGCCTTATCTCCATTAGCGCTATTGGAGCCCGAGCTTCCTTTCAGTCCTGGAGAGTTCCACACTCCCCGTCTCCCTCTTATTACCCAGAAGGTGCAATCCCAGAGTCTCTTCTTCCCCATATTGTTCCCTGGGGAAATACTTATCCCACTATTGCCTCGGGGGGAATTTACACAGCCCTCCCCTCCTTTGTCATCTCGGGGCGGGGGGGGTGTCCGTGTTACACAGCCCTGCTTTTCCTCTGCCTCGATCCCGACTCCCTGGGCCACCCAGCCCTCACCATCAGCAGGTCCCGTCGGCGAACGGGCCCGGGCGGAGCTGGTCCCTTTAAAAGCCCAGCCCGCTCGGCTTGCTTCCGCCCTGCGGGGATCCGGCTTCGGAGCCCGCCGCCCGCCCAGGCGCGGGTGCTTGAGGCGCATGTGCGGAGGCTGTTGTCAGGGAGACGCCAGGGGCGGGGCTGGCCCCTGAAGTTCGCCGCTACCGCTGCGCAGCGACACCCCCTGGACGGGGCCTTCCCCTCTGGGCCATGGGTCTTACGCATCGCTCGGTCCGACCCCCCAAGCTTTCCTCCAAAACCTGATCAAGTCCCTCGTCTCCAGGAGCCTTCCCTGCCTCTCAGTGCTTAGTCTCCTTCCTATAAAGTGGAGGTAAAATACTATTACCTGCTAGGGGTTGTTGTTTTGTTTCGTTTCGTTTTTACAACAGCGCTCGGCCCATAGCAGTGCTCAGTAAGTTACTGTCGCTGCTGTTACTATCTATCAATTCTGCTCGGCAGGACCTAAGAGATGAGTTAAATGCCTCTGGCTTCACAAGTGGGGAAACAGCAGCTCAGAGCGGTTAAGGGACTCGCTCAAGGTCTTAAAAATGAGTCAGAGGCCCACAGGATTGTACTGGCCAGTCATTCATTTATTGATTGATTCATCCCATTCATTCAACAAATAATTACTGAGCACCTACTGTGTGTTCCCCCCATCCTACGCGCTGACAATACAAAAGACTACCCAGAAGTACTCCCCTCCTGGAGCCGACATTTCAGCACTGAGGCCTTGAGCCCCTCTCCACCGTTCCAACAACAGGCACCGGCCTGTTACCAGAAGGTGGGTGCTCAGTAAATGCCTGTTAGTGGGACAGGATGCAGGTGGGTCCTTCTTCAGCGGTTGTCTATTATGCTTGATTTTCACCAGTATCTTCTTTAGGGCCTTCATGTAGGACAAATCCCTGTTTTGTAAGGAATCTATAAGTTAACTTTTATTGAAGGCTAACTAAGTGCTAGACAGTGGGCCTTTATAGAGGTGACCTCATTTAATTTCGTAAACAAGCCTATGTAGGAAATATTATCCCTCTTGTCTTTTACAGAAGAAGGAACTCAGAGACATTGTGATTATCAGAGGTCACATCACACACATGGTCAGTGGGAAAACTAGACTTGGAACCCAGGGTTTTTGGACTCTGAGCATCTATCCTGCCAGACTGGGTCTCGTGTTTTTTACACCCTGCGCCCAGCCACTAGGAGGGCTCTTCTTAGTAATGCTGAAAGCAGCCAGAGGGCCATGAACCCACAAATCACTGCGGCCCATTATGTCCAAGAGAGTAGAAGGGATGCGGCTGCGTGAGACAGGGCTCTTGCTCTCAACTTGCTTCCACGGCAGCCGGGCAGAAATACAACAACTGAATACCCATTCCTATGGGATTCTGCCCCTTGAAACCCTTGCCCACACTCCCAGGTTGCTCAGCTCCCTTTCCTGCAGTTCTTACCGCATCGGCCCAGAGTCAGGATTGGTCACACTGTGTGGAGCGCTCTCTCTCCGTGGCAGGGCTCAGATCTGTGAGTTTCCAGGCTTCACATTTAGCCCTGCTCTGTCTTGGCTCTTGGGAGGGCTCAGGGAGAGTGTGAGGAAACAAAGCAACTTGGCAGAATGAGCTTGCCGGTTCACCTGGAGGCCAGATGTGAAGTCCTCTTGGACAGAGAGGGAGGCTGGTGATCAGAGTTAGTGGCCAGAGGTTTTAGGGAATCAGCCTTCACTGCCCTCAGGAGCCCCTGAGAGGACACTTCGGTGAGCATCAGGAGGCTGTTCAAAACATGGATTCTTGGGGTCCATCCTCCAGAGATTCTGCTTTAGGGGGCCAGATGGGTCTGTAAGCTTGCACATTTAACAAGAGCACTGGGCAGTTTAGAAAGTAGGTTCTGCATCAGCCTGCAGGGGCTGCCATAACAATACCACAGACTGGGCTGCTTAAACAACAGAAATCTATTTTCTCACAGTTCTGGCAGCTGGAAGTCCAAACTCAAGGTGCCAGCAGGGTTGGTTTCCGGTGAGGCCTTTCTCCCTGGCTTGCAGGCAGCCGCTCTGTGCACACACACCCTTGGTGTGTCTTCCTCTTTAAGGAGACCAGTATTATTGCATCAGGGTCCCGCCCTGATTACCTCATTTAATCTTTATTACCCTCTTTAAGGCCTTATCTCCAAGTGAGTCACATTGGGGGTTAGGGCTTTAACACATGGATTTTGATGGGGGGTGAAGAGGGAGACACAAGATTCAGTCCATAGCAAGTCCACAGATCTCACGTAAACACTGCTGCTGGCGGCAGGAAGCCAGTCAAGGGTTAGAGCCGGGGAGTGAGGTGGTCAGAATTTCATTTCAGAAGGATGCTTGTGGACCATTTTGGTCTGGTGAGTTCCGCTTTCCTGTGCCCCCTCTGACCATTAAATTGAGTGTCCCCCTGAGCAAGATGCTTTTCCCCTTAAGGCCTAAGGTGAAGCAGGTGGACCCTCTATCTAAAGGCCCTTCTGGTGTAAAACATCCTGATTAATCCGTTCATTTCTTCATGGTTTGGTCTCTCTCCATCCCCCAAGCTGATTGAGCACCTTCTGGACAAGACCCCATAAGGCCTGGAGAGGATTTATCAAGGCAGGGAGGGACAATCACCTGCCTGAAGTAGATGGCCCAGGTGGGCAGACACACAGGCCTGAGGATCTCGGGGACAGAGGTGGGTGGGACACCCAGGGAGTGTAAGTGGAGAAGGGACAGTCGGATTTATGTTTCTCTTCTCTTCTCTGCCTGGACACTGCAGCTGTGTCCTGCAGGGTTTGCCAGCTTGATTCTGGAATGCCACAGAGGCACCCGAGTGGTCTTTAGGCAACATAAATCTGGCAATGTCACACCCATGCTTATAGTTTTCCAGTAGTTTTCACTGCACTCAGAATGAATCCAAACCTTGTAACTTCAAGGCCTTTTGCGACTGGCCCCTGACCACCTCGTGCTTTCAGCGGTCACTCTCTTCCCCTTGCCTACCGCACTCCAGCGAGCCTGGCCTTCTCCTGTTCCCACACAGGGCCGCTGCACTGCAGTGCCCACCACCTGGCGCTCTCTGCATCTCCCCCACTAACCTCCCGTGCGTGGCTGCTTCACCTGCACAGAGGCCTACCTCCTCCCCCACGCAAGGACATGCCCTTACCCGCTAGGCTCACTCCTTCATGTCATCCTGTTCATGATTCTGAAATTTTACTTTTTTAAGATTTTTAAGTAATCTCTCCACCCAACATGGGGTTTGAACTTACAACCCTGAGAGCAAGAATCACATGCTCTACCAACTGAGCCAGCCAGGCGCCCCTTGATTCTGAAATTTTAAATTTATTGTCGGTCTCTCTCACCGAACATAAGCTCCATGAGCATAGGGCCTTGTCTTTTTGTTCTCTTCTATCCCCGTTACCAGTTTGCTCGACCTGCAGTAATGAAGTACCACAGACTACGTGGCTTACACAACACAAATGTGTTTTCTCATTTCTGGAGGTTGGAAATGGTAGATGGAGGAGTTGCTAGGGGCGGGAGGGAAGGGTCTGCTCAGGCCTCTGTCTCTCTGGCTTGTAGGTGACCATCTTCTCTCCACGTCTTCACACTGCCTTCCCTCCGTATGAGTCTGAGTCCAAATTCACTCTTCTTAGAAGGACATGAATCATACTGGATCAGAGCCCACCCTAATGGCCTCATTTTAACTTAATCACCTCAGTAAAGACCCTATCTCCAAATATGATTACAATCTGAGGTACTAGGGGTTAGGACTTCAACATAAGAATTCGGGGAGGGGGGGGCGGAAGGACGTAATTCAGCCCATAATAATCCCTACTGGCTAGAGTATGTCTGACACAGTAAAAGCTCTAAAGAAACGTGTTGGCTGACCGGCCATGGCTGCAGCTTGGGAAATGGCCTCAAGAGGGTGCGCCTGGAAGAAGGACCAGTTAGGAAGCTGGGCAAACATTCCAGGCCTGGGTGGATGAAGACATGTACTTGTCAAGTGTGTACAAACACTCCCTGTGCCAGGCCAGACACTTCGAAGACCACTGTGAAGTACATACAGATCCTGCCCTTGTGGATCCGACACTGGTGGGGACTGTGATCAAATAACCAGGCAACTGCACTTAGAAGCAGGGCAGTAGGGTAGAGAGGAAGGGCAGATTGGAAATGTCCAGATTCTGTTTAAATAGAAGATTTGGGGCTGAAGCTGCCAAATCATCCCCAGGGAGTTCTTTTGAGCCTGGAACGTGCCAGGCCTGTGCTTGGCAGCAAGGCTAGTGTCCTTGACCTGGACAGCCTCATGCATCACTTCCTGCTTACAGCCCTCTACACCTGCACCTAGAGTCATGTCCACCCCCCCCCCAAAGCTACAAGGGCCCACCCGCACCCTCTGCCTTCACTCACATACTCCAAACATGCTGGCCTTTCCTCTGCTCCTAGAACTTGTCAAGTTCATGCCTGCCTCAGGGCCTTTGTTGCTGTTCTCTCTGCACAGCTGCTCTTACATTCAGGTCAAATGTCAGCTGAAATGTCACCTCCTTGGAAAGGCCTTCTCTGATGAGCCCAAGCCCATCCCGTTTTTATTTTCCTCATGGTCCTCATCTGGAACGATCCTGCTCAGCTCTTTACACATCTGTCCCTTCTCCCTCACCCCCACTGAAATGTCAACTCCACAGGGAGGGTCTGGCACACAGCATTACATTAACGCAGGGGTGAGCGCCGGCCTCCTCTTCTATCCAGTCAGCCATCAGGGGCTGAGTTTTCTCCCTATACATTTAAACATCCTCTCTGGTCCAGACCCCACTCCTGCCTGCCTCTCATCCCCATCTCCAGTGCATTCTCCAGTTCTGCCCTGTGCACTGACCTTCTCAAGGGTCACACTGACCTTCTCAAGGTTCCGGAAGGGCTGGTCACACTTGGATTTCCGTGCCTTTGAGAAGGCTAGTCCCTCTACTGGAATACCCTTCTCCTTTCTCCCTCTGGCACTGGCCACAGCACCTCTCACCCTTAGTTCTTGCGATTCCCTAGCACTTTATCTGATTTCTTTCCTTCCAACTGGAGCAAGTACAAGCTTTTACCTTCACTGAAATAGAACTTTGTTTCCTGACTTGATTTAATCTGTCTGCAGTCATTTTAATCCAATAATTTCCCGGTGAACTTGAATTCAGTTGACTTCTCATTCTCTACAGTTTAATTTCAATCTCCTCAAGGTTGTTTCTTCTCATCTCCCCCTCCTCTGGCCCTGGGGCTCATGTTCAATGTGTAGGAGGGCCTACCCAAATGCCAGGAAAGCATGTCTGGGGAGGGAGGCACCCATTCCTTGGATGTCCTCTGTTCTGGACCTTTGTGGGCCTCCTGTTCCAGGGAGAACTCTCTTCCATAATTCTGCCACGGCCCCATCTATGCTGGCCTCTCCTCCCACTGTGGCTTCTGGTCATAAGCTTCTTTCCCTACTACATCTGAGGGGATGACCCCTGGTCATCAAATCCATACGGATCACTCTGCACTGCCCTTGGCTCCAAATACCAGCCCTTCTGGATATGCCAGACCTCCCACAGCTTCTCTGGACCTTTCCTGGACCACAGCGAGTCAGTCTTTCCCAGTGTGAGGCCTAGAGGCCTGCCAACATCCTGCATTATTGACTGCCCCAGGCCAGGCGTGGGATCCCCCAGAAAGGCTTTATTCTCATTTGCCCCTTGCCTCAGTTCAGTGGGGTGAGGCTGGGGCACGGAGAAACCCATCTTTTAGCTCTTTCTGGCTTCTCAACAACTCTCCTGCCTGACTGGCTATGTTGGTTACAGTTCTCGATCTCCTTCGTATCTTTTTAGTCTGGTACCTAGACCGTCTTTGGCTTCTGAAGCTCAGGATTTGTCACCTTTGTTCAGCCTAATGTGATACCTCTCTGGTTTGTGATGAGGCTGTGAGCAACTCTAGGGGCAGGCCTTTTTTCAGCCATCTGAAACCAGCACCTCAAGGGTCAGTACCTGCTCAGGGAAAGGTGTGCTGAGAATGAATGATCCTCAGGGTAGTGCTGGGCTCTCTTGGCCTTGCTGATGGGTGGGCAGGAGCTTCCTTCTTCCTTCCAGGTTTCTGCCTGGTAAGGCCTGGCTCCCAGCCCTTTCTCTTCCCTGCAGTGGGTGGGCAGACAGGTTCCCTGGTGGGGAAATGGCACACACTGCCAGGCCTCTTAGGCATTTTCTTCTAACATCAGCTCAGCTTTGTGCATGCTGACAGGGCCTGGGCTCAGAGCCCAGCCCGGTGGGGAAAACTGGCTTTCCCACAGCTGGGGGCTGGGGCAGAGAGGGCAGGGGGCCAGCCCGGGGGTGGTGCTCAGAAATGTGGCAGAGGCCAGGGATGGGGTCCTACCCAGGTTTTACCAATGGAGGGAGGGGAGAAATGGGCATTTTCCTCCTCCAGCCCATTCAGTTTCCCTCTGAAGACAGTTTCTCACAGAGTGCCCAGGACGCAAAGCCTTTCACAGGGTGCCCCCAAGTGGTCTTTTAGGGAAGCGCACTCATTCCACAGTTACTGCGGATCCAGCTAAATTGCTAACCTGTGAGGCTAGCTGCATTGCTGCCATGTTAGTGATAAAACTAAGCCTCGGATGGGGTCACGGGGCTCCTACGTGCCCTTTCAGCCCTTGAGTTGTGGGATGACTTGTCTCAGCCCAAAGTGACAGTACCAGCTTTTGAACCAAGGTCTTTTCTGGTTGAAAGTCAGTCCATGTCCCTGTCCTGCAGCCTCTCTAGGAAGCCCTTTCTGAGTTGAAAGGGCATGGAGGGGCCCCTTGGTCCCATTCTTGATCTGACGCTTACATCAGTTCTGTCATCCCTTCCCATGCAAGTTATCAATCTCTGCTTGAGCACTTCCAGCAACGGTGGAATCACGACCTCGCAGAGCATCTACAAGAGCTCTGGACCGCTGTTGGCAGTGGTATATCGTAGCGGGGAGGGGACAGTTATGGCCACAGAGGGGAGAAGGCGGACCGGAGCTGGGGATGCTCCCCGGTCTCTGGGGAGGTGGGAAGGCACAGAGGAGCAAGGGTGAACACCGGTCCCCTGTGGCAGCACCACCAGCTGACCAGCCTGCAAGATTTTGAGGTGACGCCGCCTGTCCTGCTGGAGGCTAGCCTTTCACGGGTTCCCAGATGAGGGTGATGGGAGGCAAAGCCTCCGGCTGCAGGACTCACTGAGGGTAGTGACAAGTACAAGGCCTTGGTCTCCTTGTCTGAGTCAGTGATTCCTGCGCTGCCTGCCCACAGAGCCCACTGAAGAAGAGCGGTAAAGGCCTGAGAAGGAGAAAAGGCAGTGTGGAGCTGCCCTTCCCCTGGCTAGGAGCTGTCATTTAGACTAAATGTGCACGGGCCTCTGGCCCGTCAATACCCAGAGGAGTGGCCCGGGAATCTTGTGCTAGGCCTGCATGGGAAGGCAGTGGCTGCCGCCTCCTGCCAGGCCTTGGGGGAATCGTGGATCTTCTCTGAGCTGTGTTCTCCTTGACTTTAAGGGTTCTTCCGAAATCGGCACATCCCCTCTTCTCTGCTCCCATACACCCTCTGACCTGAGGCTGATCATGTTGCTGTCTTCATGTTCAGGTCATCTCTGGAGTAGGAGCATGCTCATCAGTGGTTAGGAGCATGGCCGGTGGCAGGGACAGACTGCATCAGGACGCTGTCTGGGAGGCTTACAGGCCAACCCATCCTGAAGGCTGGGCATGTGGGGGCCCTCCCCAGGCACTGATGCTTGCCTCCTTCCCCAGGACCACGGATCAGCCCTGGCACCCGACCCACCAAACACTGCCTCCTCTACAACATTCCACAGACTGCCCAGGCAATGCCTGAATTCCCCCAACAGTGCCGAACTGGTTCTATCTGATACATATAGCTCTGACCATAACAGAGTTCTTCCCAACAAGGCAGAAATCTCTTTTCCAGAGCTTCTACCCACTGGACCTTGTTCAGCCCAACAGACCCACAATGAGCACGTCCAACCCTTCCACAAGGGCAACTGTATAAGAATACAAAACAGTCATTCTACCTCTTGCCAACTCAGTAGCAGCCAGCACATGGCCCTGCACCCTTTGCACCCAGGACCCTTCCTCAGGAAAGTTCTAGTTTGCTGTGTCTCTCAAAGCATAGGAAACGGAATAGACAGCATCAGACTACATGCTGTTAGAAATGAAGTTTCATGCCACAGCTTGGGAAACACAAATGTGCAGATAGGATGAGAGCTGCAGGCTCATAGCACCTGAGCCTGGGACAAAGTCAGTACATAGTACGCGCTGAACGAAAAGAACATAATGGTGCTTGGCACAAAGACCCATGGGTATAAGAAACTGGCACACAGTCAGCAAGTGGCTTCAGCACTGGGGCAGCCCCCTACTCTTGTGGTGCCTGTCTCCTCCCAAGCCCCCACGCCACTGGGCAGACTCATGTCGTCAGTCCCCAACTGACACTTCCAGACTGGGAGCCAACTAAGTGTGCCCTTGAATCCAGGCAGAAGAACACCTTATGTGCCAGAGGCAGAATTCAACTAGCAAACCAAGGAATTAAAGTCCAAAAGGGAGATTAAACAATGAGACAATTCTGACCTGATTTATGGCAGCAGCTGCTACTTACTGCTCTCGAGAGGCAAAAGCCTCAGAGGTTCTCACGCTGACATCTAAAAGATGACCCAGACAACCACAGACACGCATAATCCTTACCAGGGGCATGCCTGTAACAATGTACACAGTGAGCCCAGCTCTTTCCTTCCTGATCCTGTCTTCAAGGGTTCATTATAAATAATAGCCACCATCTACTGAGCACTTACCATGTGCCAGGCGCTGTGCCTAGTGCTTTCATATACAACCTCAGTTAATCCCCATAATCCTTTAAGACAGAAACAACTATATTTACAGATGAGGAAACTTGTATCCAAGGTTAAGCAGTAAGCAGGGGAAGGCAGGATTAGAACATAGGCCTCTAAGGGCTTCTGGCCTATGTTTCTAACCACCATTTGCTATGCTGTTTCAAGATCCTGGGGCCCTGTGACCTCTCTGCTTAGGAGGCCAGGGATGATGTGGTTGTTGTCCTGGTCCCTGGGCCTCTGCTCCAAGCTCATCACCTCTCTTGGGTCTCCACCACAGGGTGGTACCTGAGGCTCTGAAATGCCAAGTCCTTCAAGCATGACGGAGAGTTGCTTTATTATTAAACAGAGCTGCCCCCTGGGAAAGGGCAACTCTTCACCTCTACCCCAAAACACAACCCTCCTAGAGCAGGAGGACAAGTTTTCCAACTACCTCGCTTCCAACTTCAATCTCCAATCTCAACTGCTCTCCATCAAGGTTGTTTCTTCTTTTCTACTAATAAGACAGTTAAGACAATTCTGTCCATTTTGTTTTATTTGTTATATTGCTAAAAAGTCATTGGGGAAAACCTTAACAAAAAATGAAACTGACAGATTTAAATATCAATGAAGTCCACTTTTCATTCCTACACTGTTACGTGCCTAAAATGACCATCTCAGGGTAAGCCATCGGGGACCCCTGAGTTGTATGGGAAACATCACTCACAGCACCAGCTTCGCCAGGGCACGACGGGTGTGCACTGACATGAACCCTGGTTGGTGGGAAGGGAGCAGAGCGAGGAAAGAGAGCAAGGGTGGAGCCAAGGCCTAAGGGTTGCTCTCATATGACAATGAACAGTGAGAGGGAGCCACTTACTGGTGACCATGCAGAACATGCCTTCTGCAGTTCATGGGGAGGCTGCCCGGGACGCAGGCCTCAAAGTTCGGCTTCCTTGCCCCTGGGTGTGTTCAGATCCTCCCCACTGACTTGTGTGCTGGTAAGAAAGCACAGACAACGCAAAGCAGAGCACATCACCATGCCAGGATCACCACAAGGACAAGGACAGACAAACCCACAGGAACATCACTTTTAAGGGGAAGCAAAGAAGCAAAGCAGAAGGAAACCCAGAAAGATAGAGGAAAAGTAGTATCCTTCTGTTCTCCATCAGCTGGTGGCTTTCTGTTTTCCAAGTCAAGACTTCTCAAGTTGGTTTTCTTTTGTTGTCCTCTTCTTCATTTTAGAGAGTTCCAACACAGTTCCTGGGATAGTTCGTGGTTTTAGCTCTTGATATAAAACTCAAACATTAAAATCAGATCAATCCACAGAGGGCTGGGAGGAGAGGAAGGCCAATATTACCCTTACAACTAAATTTAAGCTTGTTTCGACACCTAATTTGTGCTCCTAAAATACAGAACTGTGTGTGTGTGGGGGGGGGGTGAAGGGGTGTTTGTGCAGCGCACCACCCATGTTTAGAAGAGTAGAAATGTGAACGGAAATACAGAACCCTCTCTGCTGCCCAGCCTGCAAGGTGAGAAAACAGAAGCTCTGTCCAAGAGGGAAGGAAGCAGGAGGACTCTCACAGGAGGTCCCCAAGGTGGCCGGGGAGGTCCATGTGACAGTGGGGCTCTCAAAGGCACACTTGCAGGAATGGAAGGGGTTAAAGCTTCAAGTAGAAACAAAATTTATTTTAAATACTTCAATACTGACAAATATTTGCTAATTTAGGTGCTCCTGAAGGCCAAAGAAATTTTTGTCTCATTTTTCTCAGTGAATTGTTAAGACAAAATTGGTATCCTGTCCAAACCAGAGCTGTAGTTAAACGTGCCCTCACTGAAGCATCCAGGGTGCTGGCGGACGCTCTCCGCACGTGGGACACCCGAAGTTCCCCTGCACGCATGGCTTCACAAGGGTCTGAGGACACGACCACCTTGACTGTGTGGAGTCGTTCTCCTAAGGTATCTGCCCACAGCACCCAGGAGCCACCAAGACCAAAACCACCAGGTGCAGAGGAGGCAGATTTTTCCTAAGGAGCTGTAAACCCAGTCTGGTTCCAAGCAGTCTCGGTAATACTGGGTGCCACGGAGTTCCAAGGAGCCAGTTACTTCCCAAGGGCATCATCATCGCCTCCACTGCCTGCCCGTCTGGGGCAAACAGAGGGAATCCACAAGCCAACAGCTGGCTGAAGGAGGACACAGGACAAAGGGAATGGTCACAAAGTTGAGATTCTGAACTCTCAGGCTTCCAAATATTTTATATTTAAATAGGAACTGAGTTTGGGGATGCTGTCCATGCACAGATGCAATGTCAGAAACAAGGTTCAGCAATAGCAATAATGTAATACCTAATTTTACAGGCTAAGCTTTCTCTTGTGAGTAAGGACCCCACATGATCTAACAGTCTTTGCCGAAGAAGGACCAGCAACAGCCCAGGAGCAAGGTGTCTAGCAAGCTAAGTGCTGAGCTAGGAGTAGGTGGACACCATAGTAAATAGGCACATGGTAGTTTCGTCATCTAAGGGAACAGTTTCTGGAACACAGACCTCTCCCTGTGATCTGGCCCTTTCCTGGGCTTGGCACCAGGGGGGCTTTCCCACCAAGACCACATTGTAAAAGCTAATGGCTAGGGGAAAGAATTCAACATGATGTAATAGGAGAAAACACACTTATCAGACAGACTGCTAAGTGTTGGCCGGAAGCCAGGACCCAAGGCCAGCTGTAGGCAGGCTTGTGCTTGGGAAATGCCAATAAGAAAAACAGCAGTGTGAAAGATGGGAAATGCAATGTTTTAAAATTCAAATCCTAAAGTAAAAATCTTTCCACGGATGAGAAATTACCAAAAATTAAAGTGGTGCCATTTGACTTACTCTAACATCTTCTAGGCTCAGGCCATGGGTTAGAGACTGGTAATTTGTAACTTCCTATACAACCAAAGAAATGCTCTAGTTCGTTGCACTTTATCTCAGAAATGGCGTGACATAAAAACCCAACCCTTATTTGGGTCACATGTGAAAGAGACAGTCACAAAGGAGGGGCCACTCCCGAGGTCAGCCTTGCATCAAAGAGCTAAGCACCCGACACTCAACCCAATCAGCAGTCAACAGCCAGGCAGAAAAATGCATGTCACAACAAGGGCAGAAATCACTTCTAGAAGGAAGTATTACTGGGATTCCCTTTCAGGATCACTTTCCACAGTATATAAATATGGATGGGTGTGCCCAACGTGCTTTGGAAGTAAAAAGAAGCCCAAAGGGAAAAAACAGTATTTTTTGATGCTTTAAGGATTTCTCATGATACTGACATCTTGGAATTCCCTACCAGGCCCCTAAGTGATACCAGAGAAAGGGTTCCAAAAATATCTCTAGGAGATTTCCCTAGGCACCTTAGCTTTGTAAAAGAAACAGAAAGTGAGAAAGCTTTTAGGACTTAAAAAAAAAAAAAAATCCACATATGCCAAAAAAAAAAAAAAAAGGAAAAGGCAGCTTCTGAGGATCAAGTTTTAAGGGAACAAATGTGGTTTTTGGCAACTTGCAATCAAATACGATTGTCAGAAAATTCCAAAATCAGACACCAATATGTTTTCTGAGACACGGAGGGAGCACGCTAAAGACCAGCAGACACTAGGTGGACAGGCGTCTCTGTGTAAACGCGGCCTCACGGTGATCCTGGCACACACACGTGGAACAGAATTCCTGGTTGGGTAACTTTCCTCAGTCCCAAGGGCAGACGGCATGACCTCAAAGAGAAGTCTGCACCGGTCCTGTGTGGTTTTAAAAGGAAGAGAGGAGGAGTTCTCTACAGGCTCCTTTCACCCTGCCAGCTCCTGGAGCTCGTGGGTCGGGAAGCCCCACATGCGCACCTTACACATGCTCTTTCTCTAACTCCAAGAAGGCCACATAAAGATTTACGGGGGTTCTTCAGTCGCTTTAGGTAAGTTCTGACATTAGTCTGTTCCCTAAATTCTTGGTCTAGTTACCAGCAAAGGAGAAAAAGGCAGCACAGCCTCTGCTAAAACACAGCAACAAATTTACCTGAACCAGGACGGAGACCGCTCCCTCTCTGTAAACAGAGCCGGCTATAGAATATATATTTATATATTTATAGATAATTTTTTTCTTAATGGAGATTTGATCCCAGCCTGGAGTGAGTGAGGTTGGGAATTGGGGTTTTGGTTTATGGGAGTAATTCTGTCCTTTGTTTTCCCAATTCTCAGTCCAAATGCTTGCACGCTGGAAAATTAAAAGCCACAGAAAGGGAAAGGGGTTTAGAACACATTATCTCTTTGCTCGCACAAAGTACAAGGCGTTTGTTTTTGGATAGTACTTCACATTCTGTTTCTTGTCCATGAGTCCTCCAAATATGATGAGTTCACCCCTGCCTTGGACCACTGTATGCAGGCTGGTTTCAGGAGGTCCGACCACAGAACTGCTGTTAAATACTTTCCATTTGACCCGCCCCTTCTCCTTGGTGTCCTTAATGTCTAGCACGTACATCTGCATGGGCTTGCAGTTCATACTCTGGTACAAAGGTTTGCCAACATTTAGGGACTGAGGAGGGTGGTGGCCCAGGCGGCGGGCAATGGGAGGTAAGGAATGTCCATCTCCTTGGGCAGGCCCTGGGCGGGGAATGGGCACTGTTTCTCCACTGCTCAGGTTCTGGCTCCCGGGAGAGCCTGGAGAAGACCCCAGAGGAGGACTTAGTGCTGCAGAGGCTGAGGGGCCTTTGGATGACATTGCTTTGATGGCTTCTAGGCTCCGACGCAGGGCACCTGGGGAGACAGCTCCTGCAAGGGCACTGGCCACGTGTGGCGGGGTGTGCACACCATTTGTCTGTTCAGGAGGGTGTCTCATGCTTCCCCCAACTGTCCTGTTGTCCATACCATCCATATGATTGCTACTCGATGCGGGTTTCAGATCCCAATTCAGATCTATTGATCCTAACCTCAGATCTTTCTGATCCGGTAGTGACCCTCGTCGGGGGGCCAAAGAAAGTCCCATTTTGAGGTCATATCCTTCAGTGGTAGATGGAGTGCTAGGAGATACAGCCTGCACAGGGCTGTCCAAGGAAGAGCCACCTAGAGCTGCTGTTCCTGGAGACAAATTCCCACCGTTGAGGATGGGAGAGCCATCTCCTCTGGCTGGGGAAAGGCTCCCTTCCCGGGAACTTGAGGGGGTCTGCCTTTGAGCTCTGGGCCTCAGTGTTCCCCAGCGGCCGTTAACACAAGGGGCTTCATCCATACTCCTTACTGGAGACTGAGAGCGGTACTCTCGGGTTTCAGGAACCAGGGCTGGAGGAGTGGCACTGATAGGTGATGGGCGGGAGTTCAAACTGGGGCTGAGTGGGGCTCTCCCACTGGGAGCCTGGCTGAAGACCACCACACACTGCCCCACCTGGAAGACAAAAAACCTATGTTCAGTTCTGATCATTCATTTAATATCAAACATTTTATTGTGAGCACCAGGGCAGGCCAGGCATTCTGTAGGTACTGGAGATACAGAGATGAAAATAATGTAGTCTGCCTTCTAGGCTAGAAGGGGAGACAGACATAGGAACAATATATGGCTAAAGCATGACAAGTGCTATCATTAGAAGTATGTCGGCAGGATAGGGGTGGGGTGGAGGGAGGAATCAGTTTTTGTTTGGGGACCCTGAGGAAAGGTTCACAAAGAGATGCTTAAGGCTGGCACCGAAAGATCAGTAGTGGGGGCTCCTTGCTGACTCAGTCAGTGAAGCGTGCAACTCTTGATCTTGGTGTCAGGAGTTTGAACCCCACCGCTCGGCATAGAGATTACATAAATAAATAAACTTGGGGCTCCTGGGTGGCTCAGTCGGTTAAGCCTCTGACTTTGGCTCAGGTCATGATCCTGGGGTCCTGGGATCGAGCCCTGAAGTGGGCTCCCTGCTCAGGAGGGAGCCTGCTTCTTCCTCTCCCTCTGCCCTACCCAACCCCGCCCCCCTCCCCTGCATGCTCTCTCAAATAAATAAATATACTTAAAAGAAAAAAAAAGGGATCGGGGCGCCTGGGTGGCTCAGTCGTTAAGTGTCTGCCTTCGGCTCAGGTCATGGTCCCAGGGTCCTGGGATCGAGCCCCGCATCGGGCTC